CTTATCAAACTGTGCAGGTATTCTGTTGCAGCTCATCTTCTCCAACACGATTTAGCTCTTATCAAGGAGTTGCAAGGCAAAGGTAATTTTTTTTAGGGATAGTGGTAAGCGGCGGAAGAGCGGTGGCATAAAGGGGCACTCGCAGTGGTACGAGCTTTTGGCTGATTGGCGATGGTAAAAAAGGGGAGAAAACGGAAGATAACACTATACTTCAGATTTAGGATGATCGAATAGCAGGGTGAGAGTTGTGGCGGTTTAAAGATTTGGGATTTCGGCTTAGATCTAGAACCGTGGAGGTTGATTTAGGTGAAACCGAAGCTAGAATGGGAAAGAAGAGGTAAAAGGGAGGTTTTGAGTGAAACTTGGGCTTAAAAGGACATCGAACGGCGGTAGTGACCTGCGGCCGGTGCCGACGCCGGCCACCGGAGTATGGGCTTGCGAAGGCTATTTTGTAGATTCATTTGGAGGGAGAAAAAGAGCCTATAGAGAGAGTGAATTTTTTCTTTTCTATGCAGGAATGAAAATGACTGAAAAAGTTTTTGTTCTTATTTGTAATAGTGCAAAACACACCGTGTAGGGAGAAGAAAGGAATGTAGCCTGTTACCCTTGACCTGGTTACCGTTTTGATGAGAGTCGATTCAATTTAGAGATGTAATCGATTAAATTTGAATCGATATATTATTAAATTTGAGTTAAAGTTTGATTTGAAATTTAAAATTCAAAACTCAATTTGAATTCAATCGAGTTTTATTTTTTTAATTTGAGCTCAATTCGAAATAAAAATCGAATTACTCGAATTCGTTCAATTATATTTGATTAACATGTAAAAATAAATTCGATTTTTATATTCGACAAAAGTTTTATTATTTATGCTTGAACTCGAGTTTGAATTATTTTATTAATTAAAATAATAAAAATATATTTAAATATAAAAGATCGATTAGGCTTGCGAGCTATTCGAGTCGGATATAAGAATATTCAAATTCGACTCGATCGATTAGTAGAACTACTCAAACTCAAGCTCGACTCGATAATAATGGAGCTGAATTTGAGTTTTATTCAAATTAAATTCAAATAACTTACGAGTACTAATGTGTCATTTACACTTTTAATTCAATCCAAACTTGATTTAAATCCTGTTTCACTCAGGCCACTTGGCTTTTTGGGCTTCAATTTAAAGTCCAATTGAGGTATTATTTTTATGGCTTTGGGCTTATGTTGTCAATTATTGTATGCATTTTTAATTTTTTTTAAAGTATTGATAAATATAAAAATCACTTTAATTTTTCAAAAATTAAAAATTATTTTTTTAATCACTTGATATAAGAATACTCAAATTCAGCTTGATCGATTAATAAAACTACTCAAATTTGAGTTTATTCAAATTAAACTTGAATAACTTATGAGTATTAATGTATCATTTACACCTTTAGTTCAATCCAAACTTGATCCAAATCCTCTTTCACTTGGGCCACTTGACTTTTTGGGCTTCAATTTAAAGTCCAATTGAGGTATTATTTTTATGGCTTTGGGCTTATGTTGTCAATTATTGCATGCATTTTTATTTTTTTAAAAGTATTGATAAATATAAAAATCATTTTAATTTTTTAAAAATTAAAAAATAAGATGATGTTTTAATAAATAAAAATATGATTTTGAAAACTCTGCTTAAATATTTGAGGGAATCAAAATCATGTTTTGAATTATTAATTTTTTCAAATTCTGCATAAATATTAGGGAATTAAAGTAAATTTTCCTTCATAAAATAAATAAAAAATAAAATTTATTTCACCCTTAATTTTTTTCCAAAAAAATGAAAAAAGATAATGATAAAAAATAGGATTAAATGCATGTAAGATAAGTAAATGTGATTGATGGCTTGTATTTGCATCATTTATTTTATTTTATGTTACATTATATCCTGTAATAAAAAATTTGAATTGGAATTCGATAATTTTAAAAATCAATTTTTTTATTTTCTAAAATAATGGTTAATATGCCTTCGTGAAATAATCTTTGAGACCTTATCTAGATATTGGAGGACTTTTCAATAATTACTTTTTAAAGAGAAATATTAAGTCGGATTTTAAAAAATATCATGAGAATTCTAAGTTAAAAAATATTTTTTTTGAAAATTTACATAGATATTAGAGAATTAAAAAATATTTTGATATTAAAGATTCTCATCTTATTTCTAAATAATTTTTTTTATAAAAATGAATTATGAATAAAATTTAAATATGTTAGATAAAATTAATTGGTCATATCCATTTTAATTTATGTTTATATCATACATTTGCTTCGTATGATATTTGTTTGCATTTTATTGTTTTCAAAAGAATATGAATTAATGAACAGTGATTTTAGAGAATGATTTTAAATAAAAGCTAACATTTCTAGGTAAAAATTTTTTTAAAACATTTCTAAATAAAAGTTTTTTTTAATGGAGATTTTTGCAAGAAAATAAAATGTGAAAGAATTATTTTTGAATATCAAAATTAAGATTATTTTTATTAATATAAAAAATAACATATGATTTATTTGTATCGTTTTTAAAACAAGCGATGTAAGAATGCTAATCCTTCCTCACATGTAATCTATTCTCGAACTTAATTTTATTTTTATAGACCAAAATTATTTTTTTATAAACTTTAAACACGTTTTATCGTTTTATTAAAAGATAAATATTTTAGGTGGTTAGTCACACTAAACAAAAAGGATTGATAACTACTTCCCCTTATTTTGAAATTTTTTTAAAAATTTTTCATCTAACAATCTCCAAAACCGTTATGACAAGTATAAAATAAATTTTATTCAACAATTTTCTTTCATTTCTTTTATTTTCAAACATCTTAGCTGAGATGTTTTAACGATTAATTGATTGAAATGTTTGGGCTAAGATGTTTTAAATAATAATTGATTGTGATGTTTAGGTTAAGTCAGGTTTTATTCAGCATTTCTTTTATTTCTTTTATTTACAAACATCTTAGCTAAGATGTTTTAAATAATAATTGATTGTGATGTTTGGGCTGATGTTTAGGTTAAGGCAGGTTTCATTCAGCATTTTTTCATTTCTTTTTATTGTCAAACATCTTAATTAAGATGTTTTAAATATTATTGATTGTGATGTTTGGGCTAAGATGTTTTAAATAATAATTGATTGTGATGTTTAGGTTTAGGTAGGTTTTGTTCAACAAATTTCATTTCTTTTTATTTTCAAACATCTTAATTAAGATGCTTTAAATATTATTGATTGTGATGTTTGAGCTAAGATGTTTAAAATATTAATTGATTAAGGTGCTTGGGTTAGAGTTTTTTCCCCCCACCAAGGAGCTCTTTAATCTTATTTATCAAATTAGAGTAGTTTTAGAGTTAATTCCCAAAATAAGGTACCTTACATACATGGAATCCATGTCACACAAGGCAAAAAAATAAAAAAATAAAAGTTTATATTATTAATTATAACTTTGTGAAGAATTCAAAACTTGAAAAAAAAAATCTCTTTGCTCAAATCTCTATAGGTACAGTCTTTGTTTTACTCTAACATTGTTTAACAAAATCATTTTTATATAATATTTGTGATCAATGAATTATTTAAATTTTTTGAATGATTTACTTTTTTTTTTCAAGAACATACCATAATATCAGACAACAAAAATCTTTAATTTATAAACAAAATCATAAATTTAGAGAGATGTGAAATAAACGGAAGAACACAAGCCAAGGTTTCTCAATTATCAACAGATATCATCCACTACAAAATGAAGTTGGCATCATGAGAAGTGCAGCAGCAACTAAATCAAGATTTAAATGGCCTTGACTTTTTACAAATCGATTGGCTACTTTTTTTAGTTTTGTTTTGTTTTTTTATGCTTTCTAGTTTGGACTAACACATTCTCTGAATTTATTGTTGTTACTTACCTATTCCAATCGTAAAAAGAGAGATTTGAAGAGCAGGGTTGGGGAAGAGATGAGAAATCTCGTGGCACCCCATGCTATTACAAGTTAGGGAGAGAGATAAAGAGGAATCAATAACATAAACAGAAGTAGAAAATAAAGAAATTGAGAAAAAAAAAAAAGATATACAATAAAATTTTTTGTGATTCCTTCATCACCCTTAAATAAAATCTTGTGAAAGGTAATGATTATGTTGAAATGGTCCAAACGGACATTTTTTTTCACTTCAAAGCTTTCCCTGACCTTTCTAATATACTATGAAGATTGAAGAAAACTCATCCCTTAAGAAAGTAGATGGATTTTAAGGATGGCAGCCATGAGGTTTTTTATTTTTTGGAAAAAATTAAAAAGAGAATATGAAGACTTTATCAGGAAGCAATGTGGGTTTTTCGTTTTTCATTTGCGAAGGCTTTATTAAGTTTTATTTTTTATTTTGACAAAAGAAAAAAATATTGAAGAGAGAGTATGAAGGTACATATTTACAAAAGAGAAAGAGATGGGGAGAATGGAGAAGGAAGGTGAGTTGGAATTGTCATGCTGATGTGGAATCCAATTATACAATATAACCTGCTGCTTTTCAGAATAAAGTTTAAAGGTACCTTAGTTAAGGAAATAAGATGTTTGAAATGTTAATTGATGGAGATGTTTTGGGTAGTATTTTTGTTTTCATTTTTTTTGGGTCTAAGATAAAATTTACAAATTGAGCCGCGAGCATTAATAAAATCTAGGTCAACTATGAATAAAATAGATAGGCATTAGCTACCTCAAATATCAGCTACCGCTTGAGCCGCGAGAATTAATGAAACAAGAAAGTATTTTCTTTCTCATTGTGGACGTTAATTCAAGGTCCTCTCTGAACAACATTGTTAGTCACCAACCATTAGTTTCTATGATTTTGGAGTTTAGCAGCTGGGTTCCTTCATATAACATTTAGCAAAATCTGATATTTAAATCTTAAAATCGACAATTCCTTTTTTTTTTTTTTATCTCCACCTGCAGTTTTCTTTGTGAAAGATCAAAAAATTTCTATATAAATCTCTCCCTTGCAGTAGTACTATCCCAAAAACATAGTTAATTAAAGATCATTTGCTTTTTATCACTTCATTCTTCTTCCTTTTTGATCACATATATCCATACTCAAGATATTAAGCATGGGTTCAATGCTAGACGATCAAAATGATATTACATCAAATGAAGAAGAGGAATGGTATCAGGCAATGCAAGTAGCTACATCTGCAGCTCTTCCTATGGTCTTGAAAGCTGCCATCGATCTTGATTTGTTAGAGATCATTGCAAAAGCCGCCGGTTGCAAGCTCTCACCTACTGAGATTGCCTCTCGTCTTTCTACTACGAACTCTGATGCTCCATCAATCATTGACCGCATTCTTTGTGTTCTAGCAAGTCACTCTATCCTAACATGCGATCTTGCCACTAGCAAAGATGGACATGTTCAAAGATTATTTGGTTTAGCACCAATTGGAAAATATTTCCTTCACAATGATGATGAAATGTCCATTATTCCGGCCCTGACCATTTCCGCCGACAAACGTTTTTATGAATGTTGGTATTATTCTATTATCCCATAAATCTTTTTTTTTTTTTTAAGATTTGAATTCGAGACCTTCAAATTAAAAATTCATATTCTTAGCTGGTGGAGTATCTTTTAGATCAGGATTCCAAATATATGAGCACCCTATTTGCATCCATGGACGAAATCCTTCTAATACTTTTTTTTGGTTACAGTTTATTCTTGAATTCAACTTACATTAATTTTAATTTGATATATATATTTATTTATTTATAGGTATCACTTGAAAGAAACAACATTGGAAGGTGGCGCCATACCCTTTGTGAAGGCAAATGGGATGCATTTGTTTGAGCTTGCTGCCAAAAATGATGAAATAAGACGCAACTTCAACAATTTAATGGGCAACCTCACTGCCATAGTCATGAAAAAAATTCTGGGAATATATAAGGGGTTTGAAGGCATAAAAGAACTGGTAGATGTGGGAGGCGGATTGGGTACAAATCTTAAGCTCATCGTTTCTCAATATCCACAACTTAAGGGCATCAACTTTGATTTGCCTCATGTTATTAAAGATGCGCCCCATTTCCCAGGTAATTAATCAATCTAAAGACATATAAAATTATCCCATCTTGCTATTATTAGAATTTTTTTATTAACGACAGAGTTGATTGAGTTGGTAAGAATTAAATATTTTATTTGTAAAATTTAAATTAAATTATTGTTACCAACAATTTTGTTTGATGGCTGATTTATAAATCCTCTCTAAAATTTAAGGTTTATCTTGACTTGAAAATGGAAAATCTCTCACCTTAAATTTTTATGAAAAGAAAATTTATTTATTGAAGTTTTTTTATTTTAGAACAAAATAAAAAAGTTTTATGCTAGCTCTCAACGTAATTTTGTTTTTCAAACTTTTTCCCCTGCCTTGGCAACCAGTTGGCAATGGCGGATCTATGTTGTTAGGTAGGATGTCTATGTAACCCACAAATATTGAAAAATAAGAAAATTTGAAGAAAAAAAAAATTCTTAGACACTTTCAAAAATTTTTTTTAGACAACCCTTTCCGTCGACATATAATTAATAAATTTGTCAAAATAAAATTTAATAGTATTAGTAATGATTCTTGGTTGAATAGTTGTTTAGATATAATCAGAATGAAGTATTTGATAGTATTAGTAATGATGTAATTATTTTTTTAAGATGTGAAAATTCATCTTAATTAATAATACAATAACTTATTATTTCAAATTTTTGTTTATAATTTTATATATATCATCAGTAGACACTCTTAAAAAATTTTTGAATTTGTCACTGCTAATTGGAAAAATAATTTTTCATTTTTGTTTTTCCCATCTTAGGTGTTGACCATGTTGAAGGAGATATGTTCATCGAAGTTCCTCGAGGAGAGGTTATTTTCATAAAGGTTAGTATACATATAATAAAATTACTAATTTACTTGCTTAATTTATATTTAAATTAATACAAAAAAAAATGTTGTACATAGTTTCCAATAGCTATGTAGCTTATTGATAATAAAAGTATATGAATCAAATCAAATCAAATACGATTGGCACCTATAAATGCTAAGCTTAAGTCTGGATACAATTAAATAAGTTTGATATTATTTAAAAATTGTTTTCATTTTAATATTTTAAAATTTTAAAATTTATATTTAAAAATTAAATTTTAAAATAGTCTCTCGTATCAATTGAACCGATTTTGAGATTTGAAATTTCTATTTAAAAATCAACTTTAGTTAAGCTCAACCAATGAGTTTAATAAGCCATCAAACCCATGAACAAATCTAGTTAGTAAAATAATAAACTTTTAATTTTAATAAACAAAATTCAATTCTTATAACCTCAAGTATTAATATAGGAGAAATTATGCCATATTGGTTCAATATTCAATTACTCATTGTTTATACTTACAATTATAACCATAAATTTTGGTCGATTTAATCTAAGAAGTATTTTTAATTCGAAATTTGCTAGTGGGTACTTCACGATTGGGACGATGATCGATGCTTGAAGTTGTTAAAAAATTGCTACAATGCTCTACCAGAGGTTGGTAAAGTGGTAGTGGTGGAATCAATTGCGCCGGAGTTACCCATGACTGACAATGTGACTAAGAATACCTTAACATTTGACATATTCCTTCTTAACGTTCTCGATGGTGCAAAGGAGAGGACAGAGGAAGAGTACAAGGCATTGGCAAGAAAAGTGGATTCACAACTTTTAAACTTGTTTGTTGTGCTTATAGCTATTGGGTGATGGAATTCCACAAGAATGTTGAGAAACATTCATCTTAATTATGATCACCCATGATCATTCTTAGATTACGAATAAATGATTTTGGAGTACGTAATTTCGATGTTCTTGTTGGTTATTATTCTTGCACTTGTTCGTACATGTTCCAGATGTTATCCTTGATTCATTCATATTGGAATCACCTTCTTTCATTCTAGCATGAGAGATCAAAACAGTTTGGTTGCAATGATTATCAGAAAAAAAAATAAATAATAATGAGAGTATGCAAAGTTATCAGTTCAAAGTATTCATGGGACATGGTTCCTTCTTAACAATCTTTCTTATTCTTCTTTGGTTTTGTACAACTGATTTTTCAGAACATTTGATGTTTAATTTTTGGAAGATTTATATAACACAAAGCCATAATTTATTGAAGTTATTAGAGCAAATTGGAGATAATCAAATTTGTAAAGAATAAATCCAACTTATGTATATTTCATTTTCATTTATGTTGAAATTAAAAATTAAGTAAAATTTTTTTGGTATAAAGGAAGTCGTAATTTGAGAATAGAGGAAAAGATTTGACCTTCAAACATACTAAATGTCACTTTTTAAAAGTAATTATATGAATTAATTGAATTAAATTAAGAATTTAAATTAAGTTCAAATTAAGTACAACTTTAGTTTATAAGATGAGAACGATGGTAATATTTCTGTACATAAGCACCGACAGCCACTTCCAAGGAAATTGCTGCTATGATTTCCAAAGCTATATATCCTTCTATTCATATTCATTATTGAACTTAGACATGTGCCTCAAGTAACATTCAGGCCAGCACCCGAAATTGTAGAAATTTCTTTAGGCATTACCAGGTAAAGAATGCCATCTGAGAACTTTGCTTGAATTTGGTTTGGTTGACAATCCTCTGAAACTGGAATTTCTTTCCGGAATCTGCTTTTCTTCGTTTTATCCTCATCCAATTGATGTTCTCCGGTAATGGTTAAGATCCCTGAACTGCTAAGTTGAACTTTCTATTGCTGCCTTTTAAATCCTACATTTTTTTAACAGAAATTTAAGTACAAATTAGAGACTAGTTCTTCACTAATTTTCTCATTTGAAGATTGGAAAAAATAATATTACCTAGAAGATGGACTTCAATGGTGTCATTGTTTTGGTCCCTTTTCCATTTGCACAAGGGCTCAAAATCTTCCTAAGAGATTTCCATGGAAGGCTGCATCTTATTTTTGCTTATTTTTTCTTTCAATTATCTTCATAAGGAGTTTTCCTCTTGGAAGAGAATGATTCGTTAATTGCTTTTGGAAGATTGGGTTTCTTTTTGTTTTCAATTTATGTTTTCAATCTTTACTTTGTGGAAGGAGAAACTAAATTGCTTTTTATTCCTGACTTTTTCTTCATCCTTAGGGTACTTTTTATTTTTATTTTTGAAAAAAGTTGTGTGATTGTTAATAAAATATTTGATGACACGGATCAGAGGTTAGCTGACACAGGATCGAATTGATTGTTTGATGTTTTACTTGAGAGAGATCATCAATTCATTATTCGAGGGTTTCTTTTTTTTGCTTTCCTTGAGATGTTCTGCTTTGGATCTGTTTTATTTGTTTCATGGTGTCAGATTTTGTTTACCTTTGCTTTCTTAATGAAAAATTTTGCTGCTAAAACAATTACAAAAAGGTTGATACTATGGAACTTCTCCAAAATGCTCATCGGTTCAGTGGCTATGGCTATACTTCTTTCCCAAGCAGTTCATCATTGTTTCATGCATGTTTATCTAATAAATTCTTGTGCTATGGCTTTGAACGGTACATCATCTCCTCGGACAAATCTAAGTCTTCGACTTAATAAATTCATAAAAAAGTTATCTTTTTCATAACCTGCTCATAACGGATACAAACCTGAACAACAAAGAAAAGAGCAAAATATTTTTATCTTGTGTCAACTGGTTTTGACCTTTTCACTTCGACCACTTTAAGTGACCTTTTTTTATTATTATTTGGTCTAATGCAATGAAATCCATTAAATTTTAAATCATTCAATTATTTTACATTGTAATCCTGAGGATCATTAACACTTCAGCATCAAAAACATCGTTCATGATCATTTTTTTTCATGAGTTTTTTATGCAACATTACGCATGCATAATCATGGGAGCATAATATTGGAATATATAAAATAGCACAGTGAACAGCAGTGACAGCACCGCGACACTTGCCACAACCTTCACTGCTTTCTTTCTCCCCATTTTAAGCCTTGAATTGAAAGATTTAGGGCCAGCCATGGGTAATGTATCGTTTTAAGTTGGCGTATTCATCACATCTCCACCATCCGATGATGATTGTGTGGCTGTAGAAGTCTCATCAACCTCTTTCTTTTGACTGCTCTCTTGATTTAGTTTGCCTTCGCCTTGAATTGGCTATGAGGCTTGTTGCATTGGAGTAAGTGCATCCTGTTGAGAAATCTGCGGAGCAATATCTTTTAGGTATTTTTATATAAGGAATACCAGATCTCAACCTTACGCGAAAATCATTTGCTTTGCACTCTTTAGGAGCGTTGAATTCCTTGCGGAATCGGATCCATCTAGTTCTCCCCGAGGGTCGTTCACCACAAACTGTTAGGACCCCGTTACTGCTTAATTGAACTTTCAGCTGTTCCTTTCTAAAATCTAAAAGAAATAGAATTGGAACAATTTGCATGGATCAATGTAAGTGCACAACAACCAGCATCAATCATCTTCATTTTTGGCTTACAAAAGTATAAAATTGTCTCAGCTTTATTAGCAAAAAACATTTTATTTCCATAAAAAGTACTATTGGGTTCCAAATTCAATCCCCTTCATTTTCATGAACTTAATGTTAGAACAAGAAAAAGAATCTTGTTTTCCATTCCCTTTAACGTTTTTGGATGCTCATTTAGATGAATCTGGAGATTATAAACCATTGAAAGTAAAATGATTTTTGCTTTTTTTAAATTACAATAAAACATTTTCTACTCACTCTTTCCATCAATGAGAAAAGTAAAATACGGTTTTTTTTTTTTTAATTTTTACAAAGGAAATTGCAACATAGGGATAAAAGAATGGATAGTGCTGGGACTTTAACCCAAAACCTGCATAACAGCATCTCTTAAGGCTAACTGCATAAATTGCAAAGGATCATTAAGAGCAAGAAACCCTTTCTATTTCTAACAAGAAGGGTGCAATATTTATTACCTTTCACTTGAAACTCAATAATGTCATGAGCTTCTTCGTCTCTATACTGGTAATCAGGTTCAAAATCTATGTAGGAACGGTCCATTATCGAAGGAAAAAAATATATTATGGAAATCTTCCATAGGTTTATTTTATCGAAGGAGCCAGCTTATATTTGAAAGAGGCTGGGTGTAGTTAAAGAGGTTGCTTTTGGGTTTCCTAGGCCAAAGAAATTAATTCCTTTTCCAAATCCTAAGCATTTGGTTTAGTTTGGTACTTTGGACAATCTTCCTTCACATTATACGGATGTTGTCCTCCCTTCATAGGTAATCCCTTCTTTTCTTTACAGGTTTCCTCGGTCTTTGGCATGTGACAAACTAAGACAAAAGAAGTGATTTATCCTTGTGTGTTCAGAAAAAAAGAAGTGGTTTATCCTTGTATAAGAACTATTTCATATTATTTTGCAGTTTGATACCTATTACAGTTACACGGTCAATTCATGTTTTTCATTGTTTTGGAGTCGGAAATTTGACAGGTATAGATTAATAAAAATACCATGGTGTGGGTAATGGTTTAATTTAGATAATTGTTACTGTATTATGTTATGCAAGTTTTTTATGCTTTGTTTAGAAGAAAGTAAAAACTCAGCAAATGATCAAATCTGCTCAAAAAGTAGAAAGAAAATTGGATGGAAAGGAATTGGATAAGTTTCTGAAGTACAATTTTCCCCATGTCCATTTTGCAAATTTATTATAAGGGATTACAAATAACTCTTAAAAGTGACAGCATGAACCAATTAAACTAAATTTTATGTTGAAATTTTTTCTTTCTTAGCTCTTGAGCTTTGCAGAAGTAACTCACGCTTAAGCTTTCTGGTTAATTACAAATCTGATCAACTTTGGAATTTGACCATTTAAATATACAGTATTAAATCAGTTTTTTGTTCATTAAGAGAGATTTATAATAGCTCAAATGTGCAAATTTAAGGGTACTCAAGCTTGTTTAACTCTAACAAGCTCATCCTATACTGTTGTTTCAAATGACAAATTCAGAATAGGAAAATTTGGCATGGACCAAATAATTGCAGGGTGGATTAAGGACAGAATTGAATGAAAAAGATTTTGTTGGTCCCTTCAAGAGATCAAAAACCAAACTAATAAGTAATTAAAATTTACTATTACCTAGAAGATGGACTTCAATGGTGTCATTGTTTTGGTCCCTTTTCCATTTGCACAAGGGCTCAAAATCTTCGTAAGAGATTTCCATGGAAGGCTGCATCTAATTTTTGCTTATTTTTTCTTTCAATTATCTTCATAAGGAGTTTTCCTTTGTGTTTCCTCTTAGAAGAGAATGATTCGTTAATTCTTTACTCTGTGGAAGGAGAAACCAAATTGTTTTTTATTCCTGACTTTTTCTTAATCCTTGGGGTACTTTTATTTTTGGCAAAAGTTGTATGAATGTTAGTAAAATATTAAATTTTTAATTTTGGTAATCAACTCAAGCACAAAATGTACCTTTTTATTTTTTTTATTAAAAAAAAATTTTCATTCACGTCCATTCATCAATGGAGTTTATTTTATAACACCTTAAATTCAAACATCAATACTGACCCAACTATTTTTTAATACAAAAAAATCACAATCTAAAAAAAAAAAAAAAAAAAGATTTGAGGTATTGGTTTGAACTCTAGCCGATAATCCTTAAAAACTCATATAGATTAAATACACCAATTCATTAACTTTTCTTTCAAAACCAAAAACCCAATAAAAAGATGTTATTTCTTCTTCAGAAGTAAGATTTCAATGAATTCAAACTTGTTTTTTTTTTTTTGTTTATGATACTTGAAGATCCCATTCACACATGGGATATGAAAGATTTGAATCTAATAGAATCAACTAGGGTCGTCTCCAACATGTTATATTTTTATCAACGTGTGACATACTTGTTGAACTAGCCATCTTTTTTTTAGCTTCTAAGTTCATTTTAAACATTAAAACAAGAATGGTATCTCATTTAGAAATGTAAAAGATCAGAGGTTAACTGACACGGGATCGAATTGATTATTTAGTGTTTTATTGAGAGAGATCATCAATTCATTATGCGAGGGTTTTTTTTTTTTTTTTTTCTTTGCCTTGAGATGTTCTGCTTCGGATCTATTTTATTTGTTTCATGGTGTCAGATTGTTTACCTTTCCTTTCTTAATGAAAAAATTTGCTGCTAAAACGATTACAAAAGGGTTAATCCAATGAAACTTCTCCAAAATGCTCATTGATACAGTGGTTATGGCCATTTTTCTTTCCCAAGCAGTTCATCATTGTGTCATACATGTTTATCTAACAAATTCTCGTGCTATGGCTTTGTCCAATACATCATCTATTAGGGCCAATCTAAGCAAGTTTTCGACTTAATAAATTTATGAAAAATTATATTTTCATAACTTGCTTTTAACGGATTTGAACCTAAACAACGAAGAAAAAAAGACAATATTTTACCACTTGGGTCCACCTGAGCCAATCATATGGTAAAAAAATTCTTGTGCCAATTGGTTTTGAGCTTTTCACTTTGACCACTTTAAGTGACTTATTTTTTATTATTATTTGGTCTAATACAATGAATTCCATTAAATTTTAAGTCATTCAATTATTTTACATTGTAATGCAACCTAATTAATCTGAGTATAATAATCACTTCAGGGTCCAAAACATCGTTCATGATCATTTTTTTTCATAAGTTTTTTATGCTACATTACACATCCATAATCATGGGATCATAATATTTGAATATATAAAATAGCACAGTGAACAGCAGTGACAGCACCGCAACACTTGCCACAACCTTCACTGCTTTCTTTCTCCCTATTTTAAGCCTTGAATTGAAAGATTTAGGACCAGCCATGGGTAATGTATCATTTTCAGTTGGCGTATTCATCATATCTCCAGCACCTGATGATGGTTGTGTAGTTGTAGAAGTCTCATCAACCTCTTTCTTTTGACTGCTCTCTTGATTTAGTTTTCCTTCGTCTTGAATTGGCAATGACGGTTGTTGCATTGGCGTAAGTGGATCCTGTAGAGAAATCTGCGGAGCAAGTTTTTTAGGTATTGTTATATAAAGAATACCAGATCTCAACCTTACGTGAATGTCATTTGCTTTGCACTCCTTAGGAGCTTTGAATTCCTTGTGGAATCGGATCCATCTAGTTCCCCCCGGGGGACGTTCACCGGAAACTGCTAGGACCCCATTACTGCCTAATTGAACTTTCAGCTGTTTCTTCTTAAAATCTGAAAAAAAGAATAGAATTGGAACAATTTGCATGGATCAATGTAAGTGCACAACAGCCAGCATCAATCATCTTCATTTTTGGCTTAGAAAATTATAAAATTGTCTCAGCTTTATTAACAAAAATCATTTTATTTCCATAAAAAGTACTATGGGGTTCCAAATTCAATCCCCTTTTCATGAACTTAATGTTAGAACAAGAAAAGAATCTTATTTTCCATTCCCTTAACATTTTTGGATGCTCATTCAGATGAAACTGGAGATTATAAACCATTGAAGGTAAAATGATTTTTTTTTTAATTACAATAAAACATTTTCTACTCACTCTTTCCATCAATGAGAAAAGTAAAATAAGTTTTTTTTTTTTTTTTATTTACAAAAAAGACAATAACATAGGGATAGGAGGTGCTGGGACTTTAACCCAAAGCCTTCATGGTACCATCTCTTAAGGCTAACTACATGAATTGCAGAGGATTATTAAGAGCAAGAAAACCTTACTATTTCCAACAAGAAGGGTGTAATATATATTACCTTTCACTTGAAACTCAATAACGTCATGAGCTTCTTCTTCTCTGTAATGGTAATCAGGCTCAAAATCTAGGTAGGAACGGTCCATCATGGAAGGAAAAAATGTATTATGGAAATCTTGGATAGGTTTATTTTATCGAAGGAGCATGCTTATATTTGAAAGAGGCTTGGTGTAGTTAAAGAGGTTGCTTTTGGGTTTCCTAGGCAAAAGAGATTAATTCCTTTTCCAAATCCTAAGCATTTGGTTTGGTTTGGTACTTTGGACTATCTTCCTTCACGTTATACGGATGTTGTCCTCCCTTCATAGGCAATCCCTTCTTTTCTTTATAGGTTTCCTCGGTCTTTGGCATGTGACAAACTAATACAAAAGAAGTGGTTTATCCTTGTGTGTTCAGAAAAAAAGAAGTGGTTTATCCTTGTATAAGAACTATTTCATATTATTTTGCAGTTTGATACCTATTACAGTTACACGGTCAATTCATGTTTGTCATTGTTTTGGAGTCGGAAATTTGACAGGTATAGATTAATAAAAATACCTCGGTGTGGGTAATGGTTTAATTTAGATAATTGTTACTGTATTATGTTATGCAAGTTTTTTATGCTTTGTTTAGAAGAAAGTAAAAACTCAGCAAATGATCAAATCTGCTCAAAAAGTAGAAAGAAAATTGGATGGAAAGGAATTGGATAAGTTTCTGAAGTACAATTTTCCCCATGTTCATTTTGCAAATTTATTATAAGGGATTGCAAATAACTCTTAAAAGTGACAGCATGAACCAATTAAACTAAATTTTATGTTGAAATTTTTTCTTTCTTAGCTCTTGAGCTTTGCAGAAGTAACTCACGCTTAAGCTTTCTGGTTAATTACAAATCTGATCAACTTTGGAATTTGACCATTTAAATATACAGTATTAAATCAGTTTTTTGTTCATTAAGAGAGATTTATAATAGCTCAAATGTGCAAATTTAAGGGTACTCAAGCTTGTTTAACTCTAACAAGCTCATCCTATACTGTTGTTTCAAATGACAAATTCAGAATAGGAAAATTTGGCATGGACCAAATAATTGCAGGGTGGATTAAGGACAGAATTGAATGAAAAAGATTTTGTTGGTCCCTTCAAGAGATCAAAAACCAAACTAATAAGTAATTAAAATTTACTATTACCTAGAAGATGGACTTCAATGGTGTCATTGTTTTGGTCCCTTTTCCATTTGCACAAGGGCTCAAAATCTTCGTAAGAGATTTCCATGGAAGGCTGCATCTAATTTTTGCTTATTTTTTCTTTCAATTATCTTCATAAGGAGTTTTCCTTTGTGTTTCCTCTTAGAAGAGAATGATTCGTTAATTCTTTACTCTGTGGAAGGAGAAACCAAATTGTTTTTTATTCCTGACTTTTTCTTAATCCTTGGGGTACTTTTATTTTTGGCAAAAGTTGTATGAATGTTAGTAAAATATTAAAATTTTTAATTTTGGTAATCAACTCAAGCACAAAATGTACCTTTTTATTTTTTTTATTAAAAAAAATTTTCATTCACGTCCATTCATCAATGGAGTTTATTTTATAACACCTTAAATTCAAACATCAATATTGACCCAACAATTTTTTAATACAAAAAAAATCACAATCTAAAAATTAAAAAAAAAAAAAAAGATTTGAGGTATTGGGTTTGAACTCTAGCCGATAATCCTTAAAAACTCATATAGATTAAATACACCAATTCATTAACTTTTCTTTCAAAACCAAAAACCCAATAAAAAGATGTTATTTCTTCTTCAGAAGTAAGATTTCAATGAATTCAAACTGGGTTTTTTTTTTTTTTATGATACTTGAAGATCCCATTCACACATGGGATATGAAAGATTTGAATCTAATTGAATCAACTAGGGTCGTCTCCAACATGTTATATTTTTATCAACGTGTGACATACTTGTTGAACTAGCCATCTTTTTTTTAGCTTCTACGTTCATTTTAAACATTAAAACAAGAATGGTATCTCATTTAGAAATGTAAAAGATCAGAGGTTAACTGACACGGAATCGAATTGATTATTTAGTATTTTACTGAGAGAGATCATCAATTCATTATGCGAGGGTTTCTTTTTTTTTTTTTTTTCTTTGGCTTGAGATGTTCTGCTTCGGATCTGTTTTATTTGTTTCATGGTGTCAGATTGTTTACCTTTCCTTTCTTAATGAAAAAATTTGCTGCTAAAACGATTACAAAAGGGTAATCCAATGAAACTTCTCCAAAATGCTCATTGATACAGTGGTTATGGCCATTTTTCTTTCCCAAGCAGTTCATCATTGTGTCATACATGTTTATCTAACAAATTCTCGTGCTATGGCTTTGTCCAATACATCATCTCTTCGGGCCAATCTAAGCAAGTTTTCGACTTAATAAATTTATGAAAAATTATATTTTCATAACTTGCTTTTAACGGATTTGAACCTAAACAACGAAGAAAAAAGGACAATATTTTACCACTTGGGTCCACTTGAGCCAATCATACGGTAAAAAAATTCTTGTGCCAATTGGTTTTGAGCTTTTCACTTTGACCACTTTAAGTGACTTTTTTTTATTATTATTATTTGGTCTAATACAATGAATTCCATTAAATTTTAAGTCATTCAATTATTTTACATTGTAATGCAACCTAATTAATCTGAGTATAATAATCACTTCAGGGTCCAAAACATCGTTCATGATCATTTTTTTCTTAAGTTTTTTATGCAACATTACACATGCATAGTCATAGGATCATAATATTTGAATATATAAAATAGCACAGTGAACAGCAGTGACAGCACCGCAACACTTGCCACAACCTTCACTGCTTTCTTTCTCCCTATTTTAAGCCTTGAATTGAAAGATTTAGGACCAGCCATGGGTAATGCATCATTTTCAGTTGGCGTATTCATCATATCTCCAGCACCTAATGATGGTTGTGTAGTTGTAGAAGTCTCATCAACCTCTTTCTTTTGACTGCTCTCTTGATTTAGTTTTCCTTCGTCTTGAATTGGCGATGACGGTTGTTGCATTGGCGTAAGTGGATCCTGTAGAGAAATCTGCGGAGCAATTTTTTTAGGTATTGTTATATAAAGAATACCAGATCTCAACCTTACGTGAATGTCATTTGCTTTCCACTCCTTAGGAGCTTTGAATTCCTTGCGGAATCGGATCCATCTAGTTCCCCCCGGGGGACGTTCACCGGAAACTGCTAGGACCCCATTGCTGCCTAATTGAACTTTCAGCTGTTCCTTCTTAAAATCTAAAAAAAAGAATAGAATTGGAACAATTTGCATGGATCAATGTAAGTGCACAACAGCCAGCATCAATCATCTTCATTTTTGGCTTAGAAAATTATAAAATTGTCTCAGTTTTATTAACAAAAATCATTTTATTTCCATAAAAAGTACTATTGGGTTCCAAATTCAATCCCCTTTTCATGAACTTAATGTTAGAACAAGAAAAAGAATCTTATTTTCCATTCCCTTAACATTTTTGGATGCTCATTCAGATGAAACTGGAGATTATAAACCATTGAAGGTAAAATGATTTTTTTTTTAATTACAATAAAACATTTTCTACTCACTCTTTCCATCAATGAGAAAAGTAAAATAAGTTTTTTTTTTTTTTTATTTACAAAAAAGACAATAACATAGGGATAGGAGGTGCTGGGACTTTAACCCAAAGCCTTCATGGTACCATCTCTTAAGGCTAACTACATAAATTGCAGAGGATTATTAAGAGCAAGAAAACCTTACTATTTCTAACAAGAAGGGTGTAATATATATTACCTTTCACTTGAAACTCAATAACGTCATGAGCTTCTTCTTCTCTATAATGGTAATCAGGCTCAAAATCTAGGTAGGAACGGTCCATCATGGAAGGAAAAATGTATTATGGAAATCTTGGATAGGTTTATTTTATCGAAGGAGCATGCTTATATTTGAAAGAGGCTTGGTGTAGTTAAAGAGGTTGCTTTTGGGTTTCCTAGGCAAAAGAGATTAATTCCTTTTCCAAATCCTAGGCATTTGGTTTGGTTTGCTACTTTGGACAATCTTCATTCACATTATACGGATGTTGTCCTCCCTTCATAGGTAATCCCTTCTTTTCTTTATAGGTTTCCTTGGTCTTTGGCATGTGACAAACTAATACAAAAGAAGTAGTTTATCCTTGTGTGTTTACAAAAAAAAAGTGGTTTATCCCTGTATAAGAAGGACTATTTCATATTCTTTTGCAATTAAATACCTATTACAGATACAGAGTTAATTCATCTTTTTCATTGTTTTGGAGTCAGAATTTTGACAATTATAGATTAATAAAAATATCTTGGTGTGGGGAATGGTTTAATTTAGATAATTGTTACTGTATTATGTTGTGCAAGTTTTTTATGCATTGTTTGGTAGAAAGTAAAAAATCAACAAATGATCAAATCTGTTAAAAAATTAGACAGAAAATTGGATGGAAAGGAATTTGATGAGTTGCTGAATTGCAATTTTACCTATGTTCATTTCGCAAATTTATTACAAATAAATGTAGGATTTTCTTTTACACAAAGGAGGTCACAGTTGGAAGTCCAGAACCTGTTGGATGGCATCTCTTAAAAATGGTAGCATGAACCAATAGAGTTAAGTTTCAGGTTCAGATTTTTTCTTTCTTAACAAATATTTCAATATATCCAGAATTTCCCGAAGAGAATAACAAAAAATGTGCCTCGTGATCAGCTTGAGTGTGCAACTCAACAACTCTTGAGCTTTCTGGGTTAATAACAAATCTGATCAACTTTGGAATTTGACCATTTCAGACTCAGATGGGGTAGATCTGGATGATAATACTAGCCCTTACAATGATAGTCCTGCTGTCAGAAGGCCACTGAAGACAGACAAGCATCACCACCTTGCATCAAACAGCTTGCAGGAAGTATATGAGAACCTGAGTGATAACAAAGGTAAATCAGAATGTTATGACGCTAACTCTGGACCTAATGGAGATGCAGGGGTACGGGAAAATGGAATGAATTAGGAAGAGACAAAGAGCAGATTGGTCTGCATTTGGGATCAGTTCAATCCAGTTCATCCCAAGAGTGGAATAATGTTGTCTTGAGCGGAATGAGCAGGCACCTAAGGAAACATGGTGGGACATGGAACATAGCAAAAAGTAAAAAAGAAAGCAATTGGATTAGGATGGAAAAACCACAACTGTTAGAGTAAGAGGGAAAGGACAATGTTAATGTTACAGCTAAGTTTAACTTTGTTATAAGTTACTTTCTTTATAGTTTTACCCTTTCTTATTATATTCTTTCACATTTAACAATAAATTTTAATCATTAGATTAATAAAATTTTCATTATTTTTATCAAACAAAACTTAAATGTGACCATATAAACCAAGGGGGTAAATTTAGGATTCATTATATTTGTTTCATGAATAATTATTAGTATTAAAAAAGAATGAACAGCCTCTTTTTGTCTTTATCCCTTTATTTTAGTTTTTACTAGTCTTACTATAGACTGTGCTACCTACACTAAAGTAGTACAATGGTGCATTTATATATCTATTTTATTTTAAAGATTTAAGTGAAAAGTATTAAAAGCTTTATAGATTACAATAGAATTTTAAAAATTTATATCTTATTGGAGTGTAAAATATGTGTATTAGATGAGAGTATATAATTTTTTTTAGTTAATTTATTTAATTATACACGTATTTTATATGTGTATGTGTGTAAACGCATATACTTATGCATGCATAAAGAATAGACGTATGCACTTACGTATGCATAAATATATGTGTACATGTGTAAACGCATGCATTTATGTACACACAAATATATATAATAATTTTAAAATAAAATATTAAATAGATTACAATCATCTAAAGATTCATAAACGAGATTTTTTGACAGAAATATAATTATCGAATTTTTTTTTCTTTCATTTCTATCTTTTATTTGTACTAATCTTAATCCTACATACATACATGTGTACATGTATGGTATAAGGAAAATATTACATAATCCTAATATTATTTCAAAGTGGAACCCCAAATATTGGGATGATATAATAAAAATACTAATCTCACTATTAAGAAGACTTAGGAATTTCAATTGATTGTTACTTTATTATTATTGATTTTTTTAATTTATGAAAAATTTATTATAATTTGGAAAAAAATGAAAACTATATTTAATAAAATTTTAGAAAATTACCAAATTAAAATATCAATTTAGACATTATTATTATTTTTATTTTTTATAGATTTTCCTAGTTTTGGTGACCCAAACATGCATATTTTATGGTGGGCCTAAAATCCAAAATTATCACCAATACAAATTGCTTCCAGAAAAGGAAGCCCACCCCAAGTTTCCTTTTATTCTTTTTCTTTCCATTTACCCCTCATCTCTTCCCCTATAAATTTTCAGCATTTTGATCCATTCTTCGGGGAACAAATATAAAAAAATTTTCACTACCCATTGCCTGGAATCCTCATTTCAATACTTTTTCCTTTTGCTTTTCCTTAATCAATTTATAGAAAAAAAAGTTTTTTTGTGTTTTTTTTTCACTCTGTTTTGCAGGTGATCGTTTAAAGATTGTTTTTTTTTTTTTTTTTTGTCTTTAGTTGTTTATGTCGGTCGGGTTTTTGAAGCATGTAAGTCTTATTGCTTTGTTATCAATACGGGTTTTTGTTCTTTTTTTATTTTTATTATTTTGAATTGAAGTTTGTTTCTTTGATAATTTCAATTTTATTTGTACAAAAAGGGAGAAAATCTGATAGATTTCATCTGTTGTCCCATAGTTTTTTTTTTCTTTTTTTTCCTGAAGTGGTTTCTATAGTTTTGTTAAGTTTGTTAACTGTTTCATTTCACTTTAGGGAATCTGTTGAAGAACCTCTTATTCCTGGACTGCCCGATGATTTGGCTTTGAGATGTCTGGCCAAGTTGTCACATGGTTATTATGGAGTGCTTGAAGCTGTCTCAAAGAGGTGGAAAGATTTGGTTCGAAGCAGTGAGTATGCGAGTTATAAAGCTAATAAAGGATGGTGTGGTGATTGGTTATTTGTTGTCACTGAACGTTCCAATAACCAGTGGATTGCCTATGATCGCGACGCTGATCGATGGCGTCCCTTGCCAAAGATTCCAACTGACTATGAAGGCTTACAGCATTTTGGATTTTCGTGTGTGTGTGTCCGCAATCGGCTCCTTGTGATTGGTGGCTCTCATGCTCCTCTTAATACTGCTTATCCCCGTCAAACGCCTGAGATAACAAATGCTGTTCTGCAGTTTGATCCATTTAAGAATCAGTGGACCAGATTAACGAGCATGCAAACACCACGATCTCATTTTGCATGCTGTGTTATGTCTGGGAAGGTTTATGTTGCTGGAGGGCGCAACTTATCTTACCCCCAAGGGCTTTCTCTTGCTGAGGTTTATGATCCAATAAGTGATCGGTAAGCTTCATTTCTTCATGGATGATATGTTTTTGTTTTCTCGAGACACAGTGGGAGTTGATTACTATTGCAAATGCTTTTCATATTTTGTGCACTCTGGTAGGTGTAGTCTAGCTTCAGCCACAAGATGCAACAAAGATAAATCTTAGAGGGATTGATAAAATAGCTAAAACGTTAATGTAACTCTCTGAAGCTTTTGCCTGGTGCTTCATTCATGACATGTGGTGGGTGTTTTAATTGTTGAAAATGTGTTTGGATCTTGTATTCTTACCTTTTTAATCTCACTTTAACCCCTCCTCTCTTGCTATTACTCTCTGGCAAAAAACTGATTATCTACCTTGAAAAATATTTTGTAAATTATGTACATTTTTTTCTTTTATTTTCAAAATTGCTTGGCTTGGTTTATGACTAAATGGTAGTTGCAGGTGGGAGGAAGTGCCAGAAATGCCCAACCCGCAAATGGACTGCCTAGGTGTATCATACAAAAGTAAATTTCATGTATTAAGTGACCAGGTAGGCTTGGCAGAGCACAATCCATCTGAAATTTTTGATCCATCAAATAAAGCATGGGCCACAGTTGACGACATATGGCCTTTCTCAAGGGCAATGCAATTTGCAGTTCAGGTGATGGGGAATGATAAAGTTTATACCGTGGTGGATTGGGGGGAGAGCTTGATTAAAGCAAGAGATTCTAGAAGAGGAGTGTGGTACAATGTTGGTGCTGTTCCTCCAATTGTTTTTCCTGATAACGCCCGAGAACTCGAGGCCTTTGGTTATGGTTTTGCTGCACTGAAAAATGAATTATATGTTCTTGGGGGAAAGGTTCTCAAGTGGGAAGATTCAGGAGCTGGGATGTTTGACGTCGTGAGGTTAGCTGGAGTTAGAGTTTGTGATCCTTTACAGAGGCCATTAAACTGGAGGGAAATCAGGCCCATGTGTAGGCCATCAGCTGGCACTATCCTAGGCTGTGCCTCCATGGAAGAAGAACGCTCTTCTTGACCAGGAAAAATGTACTCATTAGAACCAAACAGTCTTAACCACAGCGCAGGGCATCTGAAATTTGAAGTCTTCTGCAGCAGCATCACATATCTCTCAATGGCAAACTTGCTGTTAGAAAAAGAAAAAAAAGAAAGAAAGAAATCTTATTGGCGACATATATTTCATTAGAACCCCTACAGTTATGTCTCAAGTAACCTATTTCCTTCATAGTACTTGAATAAAAGAAGTTTGTCTAGCTCTGCTATATTTTATTAGGTGGATTTGTTATTTTTGATGTTATTTCTAGAGGAAGAATGGAGTTGAAATGCATTAGGAGTGTATTACAATTTTTATTGATCATCTCTTTTTTTTTTTCCAAACTTCCAATTAGTCTGTTGAAGATGGCATGCAAAACTTGTAATCCAGTTATTCATAGCCTGCAAAGCTTGCTCTATGGCTGCCATGGATTTCACAAGGGCAAAAGCCAGCATTACTAGTGCATAACAGATTATTTATAAAAAAAAGAGAAAAAGAAAGAGAAAAAACAGAGACAAGAGGTGGAGAACATGTACGACATGTAGTAAGATGTACTTTGCCAAAGATTTTAAGGTGTCACGTAAATATATGGGCCTACCAATGGTTTTTTTTTTTCAGTTTTATGTGCCAAGACAATTTTACAGGTCACATTTTCACTGGCATGTGGGACACTTTCCAGCATGCAATTTTCTTTTCTTTTTTAATAATTAATCATATATTTATTTTTTTTAGTTCAAATGACAAAAACTTTGAACACAGATAATGCATTATTTGTTGAATTAAATGTTTGAATTTTCATTAGATTAAATTTTAATTGATATTATTATAATAATAAAAAGTAGGTACTGCTAAATATTATAATATATTATAAAGGAAAGAGAATTTATTGGGAGATTTTCAACCAAGCTCATGAGGCCAAAGAATACATTGCTATCAAGGCTATTGTTCACCAGTCACATCTCCAATTTTTCTGCTTTCAATTCTCCTTTTCTTTTCCCCACTTTTTACTTTCTAATGCAAACTCAAAATGGAAAAGAGAACAGAAAAAAGTTATAAAAAATTGGAAAGAAATCTTCTATAAATACCACCTTTAACTTCCTTTCATTTCCAAACTGCTACTGCAAAATTTTTAACAGTGTCTTTTTCTGAGGAACAGAAGCCATTGGAGTTCTGGGATTTTCCTGTATGTCGATAACTTTTCTCCTCAAAATGTTTATTACTGTTCATCTGTATGTTTCTACTTTTTGCTTAATTGCCTTATGCTTCTCAGAATTATAGTTGAAGGTCAATTCTTTCCTACATCATTATATTCTTCTTTTATATGAAGGCAACTGGAAGAAAATCAAAATGGCAAGAGCAAGAATTCCCATGTTCTTGATGGGGCTCCTGCTTTGGTGTTGCCGCTTGACAGCCTCTGAAAAAGCTGAATATATGAAATACAAATATCCAAAACAGCCACTGCCTGTTCGAATTCAGGACCTGTTGAACAGAATGACATTGGAGGAAAAGATAGGACAAATGGTCCAAATTGACCGTAGCGTTGCTTCAGCTGAGGTGATGAAGAAGCATTTCATTGGTGAGCATCATTTGTCAATCTTCTTTAATAACCCTTCAGATCAAAGAAAATAATTCTATCAAATGTAGCAATGGTGATCAGGAAACCATACTCAAGGGAAAAAGGTTTTTGCTTTGGCAGGAAGCTTATTGAGTGGAGGAGGGAGTGTCCCAGCTCCACAAGCTTCTGCAAAGACTTGGATCGACATGGTCAATGACTTTCAAAAAGGTTGTTTATCTACCCGACTAGGAATTCCAATGATTTATGGGATTGATGCTGTTCATGGCCACAACACTGTTTACAAGGCAACAATTTTTCCTCACAACATTTGTCTAGGTGCTACCAGGCATGTAGATGATGCACTTTGCTCATATTTTCCATTCTCACCAACCATTCTTTATCAGTTTTTCTTTACCTGTTGGGTTTAGTCTCTGGATATAATGCCCCCAATCTCACTTTGACAAATTATGAGACAAAATCGTGATAGCAGACAATGCACTGCAGATTGGATGTGACCGGAGCTTAAGAATCTATTTATAGTTTTGCTAACTTAGTTCCTTGATGTGGTTCTACACTGCTATTCCTGACATCCTTGGTGAAACATTTTTCTTACAACCAGGGACCCTGAACTGGTTAAGAAAATTGGGGCTGCAACAGCACTTGAAGTCAGAGCAACTGGCATTTCCTATGTTTTTGCACCTTGTATAGCGGTAGCCTTCATTTACCTTTCCTTGTTTCATTTTTGGGGATGTCTGAACTTCTTATAAAGGTATAGTTAAGCAATTTGAACAGGTTTGCAGAGATCCAAGATGGGGTCGTTGTTATGAAAGTTACAGCGAAGATCCCCTGATTGTTGAAGCAATGACAGAGATTATACCAGGATTGCAAGGAGACATCCCTGCTACCTCTCCCATGGGCATTCCATTTGTCGCTGGAAAGTAAGCAATTTCAAAAACTACAACTAAAATTCAGATTTAGACTTAATCTTTTCATAATTAATTACAACACAAATTTATGTGTATAACGTTTTGTTCCATCAAATATCATGCAAAAGCACAAAAGGTCAAACTTTTTCATCAATGGTGATGCCCATGAAAATTACAGTATTGGACTTTTTATTTTTGAGTGATGAATTAATGATGTGGACCTGAATAGACAGGTATAATAATGAAAAAGTAAAGAAAAAGAGAACTTGTTTGCCGTTAACCACAATTTGGGTGTCCTAGCATTTATTTCTGAAGGGAGTGAGTGTGGGGAATATAAATAGTTTATTGATGAATTCATTGTACCTGGTGGCTCAGAGATATTAATCAAATCATAGATTGACAATGCCAACATAACAAATCATTTCACCAATTTATCACATTCCATTTCACAAAAGGTTATTATATTTTACTACCAAGAAGAAAATGATGAACAGAATACATTTTAATACCATTTTCCAACTTTTTGATTGCTGAATTTGCGGCTTGTAAAATTTGAAAGATCAATGTTACGAATGGCCTCATAATTACAGTAAAATATTTAATGTGATATATGAATTATAATTATTTCTAATATGATAATTGAATTATAAATCTCTAAATTAACATGGTTAGCATCTTAACATCGTTAGCTTCAAATATGTTTAACAAAAAATTTTTTAAATATCACATTAGTTAATAAATTTATGATTTAGATATAGGTATCACATTTAACATTTTATTATAATTTAGAGGTCATTCATAACATTATCCCAATGTGAAACTAATTCCTCTGCCTTTTTCCTACTCTTTTGCTGTTCCAGGAAAAATGTTGCAGCTTGTGCTAAGCACTATGTAGGTGATGGTGGAACAACCGATGGCATAAATGAGGACAACACAGTGATAGACAGGAATGGTTTGCTTAGCATTCATATGCGAGGCTACTATACTTCAATTATTAAAGGTGTTTCAACCATCATGGTCTCCTATTCAAGCTGGAATGGGATTAAAATGCATACTAATCGTGATTTAATCACCAGTTTTCTCAAGAACAAACTTCGTTTTAAGGTATGACTCTTGCTCATAGGATTGAAATCAAGTTTCTGTAGCACTAGATTGGCATACAAAAAGAACCTGAGAACATGATGCAGATTTTGCACATTGTCTCAGGGCTTTGTCATCTCGGATTGGGAAGGTCTCGACAGGATCACTTCTCCACCTCATGCCAACTATTCGTATTCAATTAAAGCTGCAATCCGGGCAGGCATTGACATGGTTAGAGCTTATTAAAATGTTGAATTTTGAATCCGAGCTTAACTTAGTTGGTTTATGTATCTCCTCTAAAGAGTTAGCATCTAGCAGGTCTGATGTTCAAATCCTATCACCTGCAAGCCCTCCCCTATCCCAAAGTTGTGGCTTCCTTTGTTCCAAAAAGAAAATTTTGAACTTTATGCTTAACTTTTTTTTCATCTGTTGTGTTTGATCTTGTAATAATGCTTACTAATTTCAGGTCATGGTTCCATGCAACTATAATGAATTCATAGACGTGCTAACCTTCCAGGTGAAAAATAACATCATCTCCATGAACCGCATTAATCATGCAGTGAAGAGAATTTTGCGAGTTAAGTTTGTAATGGGTCTATTTGAGAATCCACTTGCAGATGACAGCTTGGTCGACCAACTTGGAAGTCAGGTCAGTTTATCAGCTAGGTTTGTCTTTAAACATTAAGATGATTATAGTGTCCTAAATTTTCCAACCAACTCAACAGGAGCATAGAGAGCTGGCTAGAGAAGCAGTGAGAAGATCACTTGTTTTGCTCAAGAATGGACAATCTCCTGATCATCCATTGCTTCCCCTGCCTAAAAGGACACCAAAAATACTAGTTGCTGGTAGTCACGCAGACAATTTGGGTTATCAATGTGGTGGATGGACAATAGAGTGGCAGGGGTTGAGTGGCAACAACCTTACAATTGGTAAACAATTAAACAATTTACACCCGATTCTTCTAGTTTTTTTTTTTTAATTATCCTCATTTACCAGAAAGCAAATTGTCAACTACAGCACCAACAGCCGGGTAATCTGTTGGTAGAGTGTTGAACTTTTAGTACTAGAGATCAATGTTCAAATCCTAGCATCCTCCAGTATATAAAAAATAGTCAACTACAGCATTGCAAGGAAAAAAAGATGCAAATTAAAGATAACATCTATGCAATCTATATGATAATGAATTCTTCAATTATACATTATTATCCTGTAGTTTCAAAGGACCAATCTATTTCTCTGCATTTTGCAGTTTTTTTCTAGCTTTTGTTTGAGGATCATTGAAACCTAAGCATTAACCCTTAGACAACTTTTCTTATGAACAGGTACAACAATCCTAACTGCCATCAAGAACACAGTCGATTCAAGCACTAATGTCGTTTACAAGGAGAATCCTGGCACTGTATTTGTCAAGTCCAACGATTTCTCCTACGCCATTGTTGTAGTAGGGGAGCATCCATATGCGGAAACAGATGGTGATAGCATGAATTTGACAATTCCAGACCCTGGTCCGAGCACAATCACAAATGTCTGTGGAGCTGTGAAATGTGTTGTTATCATAATATCTGGTCGCCCTGTTGTGATCCAACCATATGTTGACTCTATCGATGCTCTTGTTGCCGCTTGGTTGCCAGGAACTGAGGGTCAAGGTGTTGCTGATGTTCTGTTTGGTGACTATGGTTTTACAGGCAAGCTTCCTCGCACTTGGTTCAGGACTGTTGATCAACTGCCGATGAATGTTGGAGATTCACACTATGATCCCCTCTTCCCATTTGGATTTGGCCTCACTACTGAACCTACTAAAAGCTACGAGGAAACCATTCCTCAGGTTTTCTAATTTTTTGAAGTCATTTTCATCATCATTTACATTTGTTAGAACTGATTTAGCAAATTGTAATCTAATCCTCATCCTTATTTATGAAAAGATATTACAGAATCAAAAAATTACAATAAAAGGATTAAAGTTTTCTTTGTTATCAATGACAAATTTAATCATAAAAAATCTTATATATGTGAGCAAGTGTTTGCTTATCTTCCCCAATTGTTTATCGCTGTTGTTTTCTTGTTCTTTCCCATGTTTTAATGCAAACTAAAAATGCAAGAAAAAAAAATTCCATGAACATCACACGCTTTCCTCCTTTTCCAAGCCGCCTTTTTGGGAAATTTTCAGGATTGAGCATTACATTTTGCCTCCTATCTTTCTTCTTTCGAGTGATCTTAAGATTGCAATAATGGAATTATTAATCAACTTCATTTGATAAGCTGAGGCTCTAAGAGATATAAATCTCCGACATGGTGTATGTAATTGCTATTGCTCATCGTTGAACTAAAAAGGGAATACAAACCTCGTTGCTGTTTTGTCTCCAACAGGAGCTTGTTGTCAACCATGCTAAGAACTTGTATAATAATTGTAAAATATACAACAAACAACAACAAATTAAACCTTATATCGCACAAACAATTGTAAAATATGCCAACTTAAAAACTCAAAACAATTAAATATTAAAGATATAAATTCCATCTGCTTTTTTTTTTTTTCTAAAGGATAAATCAAAATGATCATTTTCTGAGCAACAGTATCATCATTGCTAAATGGAAGTCTTCGTTATTATCATTAAAGTAATTATAAAGTTCTACGAATCCTAATAGTGTATACTTTTAGCTATTTTTTTTCACATCAGAGTGATGGATATAAACTGTTGGTGGTGAAAGAAAAGCCTATGATCCCATTATTATTTATTATAACAAAGAAAACATCTACCGCATAGACATAGTGCTATGTCACAACAAGTCCATATCTGCACTTACTCAGCAACTTCACTGCTCTTGTCCTCAGCTTCCTTAATCTGCCTCAGGATTTCTTCCTTTTTCTCAAGTAGGGCTTCTATTTTGCTATTGATTTTCTCTAACTTCTGTTTTAGCTTGCTAAGATCTTTGCTTTTGTCCTTCCCCTCTGGTTTCTTTTTCTTCTCAAATTTCTTGTCTTTTTCTTCCTCTTTGCATTCTTTTGCTTTACCCTTCAGCATCTTTTCCTCTCCTTCAGCTTCCGGTCCTTTCTCAATATCTACTATTTCAATTTCCCTGGAGGTTACGTCAGTCTCACATTTCATTTCATTTACTCCATCTCCGTGTTTCTTCTTCTCCTTCTCATCTGCTTCTATCTCTTCGTCCTTGTGCTTCGTCTCTTTCTCCTCTTTGTCTTTCTTTTTCTCTTTCTTCTTCTCTTCTTTCTCTTCACCTTCTTCTCCTTCAACCTTGATCATTTTTTCTTTCCTCTTATCCTTCTCCTCCTTATCTTTCTTCTTCTCTTTCTTTTTCTTTTCTTTTTCTTCATCTTCATCATCTTCTACCTCATCCTCTTTATCCCTTTTCTTTTCTTTCTTCTTCTCCTTTGCCTCTTTGTCTTTTTTCTTCTCTTTCTTTTTCTCTTCCTTTTCTTCATCTTCATCTTCATCTCCTTCTACCTCTTCCTCTTTATCCTTCAGCTTCTTTTCCTTCTTCTTCTCTTTGCCACCTTTCTCTTTATTCTTCTCTCCTTTCTCTTCTTCACCCTCTTCTTCTTCATCCGTCATCTTCTTTTCTTTCTTCTTCTCCTTCTCCTCTTTATTTTTCTTATCCTTCTTCTTTACTTCTTTCTCTTCACCATCTTCGACCTCATCCCCCTTATCCTCTTTCTTTTCTTTCTTTTTCTCCTCCTCCTTGGCTTTCTTCTTCTTCTTCTTCTTCTCTACAGTCTCTTCATCTTCATCTTGTTGTGCCTCGTCCTTCTTTTCTTTCTTTTTCTTTTTCTCCTTCTCCTCCTTGTCTTTCCCTTTCTGTTTCGCATCTTTCTCTTCATCTTCTTCTACTTCAACTTCTTTATCCTTGTGCTTTTTTTCTTTTTTCTTTGCTTTCTCCTCATCCTTCTCTTTATGTTTCCCCTCCTTGTCCTCCTTATGCTTTGGCTTTTCCTTCTCTACTGATTTGGTCTTCAGTTCAAGTTCCACCTCGACCTTCTCTCCCTTCTCATGGTCACGCTCCATGTCCTTCGTCTTGACTTTGAAATGCAGTTCTTCCTTCTTCACCTTTTCTTCTCCACCGACAATGGATTCAGATGTATCTTGCTTCTATAGACCCTTTGCCACAAACTCAAACTAGAATATAAGCCCTTCTTGGTTTTTCAAATCCCCTGTAAGAAATGCCAGATCAAAATAAGCAAGGACGAGAAAACAAACAAAATTAATCTCCAACCAACAAAGTGGATGGACTACATATAATCAAGAAAATAAGAATTCATTTAAAAAACACAGCACTACGGTCGGTATACTACAAATGCTGGTGTTACACCTAAAGCCATTTGAACAAAAAACCCCCTTTCCCTATTTCATTTCCAAGAAGGGATAAATAGTTAATATAGACAGGGAACAAGCACATGTGGATGAGAAAAGGATTCTAGATATCAGAAACATTTGCAAAATCTTGTGTGACCTTGCACAACTAATAACAGGCATAGAGCAGAAACACTGTCCAATCATCATGACAACTCCCACAACCAAGAGCAGAAAACATCACAACCATCTCCACTACCCTAACACCAAATGAATCCCAATAGACTCAACCTGTATCCCATATTTCTCTCTCTCAATTGATACCATCAAAGTTGGCCTCTCCACAGCTCCACCGCCTAACAGAAATTCAAAATCCCAGCTGAAACATGTTATCGTAGTTGTCATTGTCGCTGCCATATCATTACCATGCTATTTTCTTTTATATGTTGAAAACAACGACCGTAGATACTCGCCAACATGATACTAAACAATCCAGATCTTATTTAATGTATTTTATCAACATGAAAATAGTCTTAAAAGTAAACATGAAAATAACCATGTTAATGCAAAAATTATTCCTGTAACAAGCTTACTTCATTCCCCAATCACCATGAAATTACCTGTGACAGATAACGTTTCCATCGTTGAAACTTATGCATCTCAAGAAACCACATATTTTCTTATTTTCAAGGATGCAACTTGAATATTGTAAGAAGAAAGAAATAAAGAAATTGCGCTAGGTCAACACAGACGAATAGTTATAAATGATATAAAAGGAAAGGAATATATGCTTGCAAAAATGACCAAAAAGAAGGTTTGAATTTGATTTTCTTTCTTGGAGGTTTTTCTCTATATCATTTCACAAACCAAGAAAAAACCGGATTCAATTTCCCACAGGAAACATTAAAAAACAGATCAAAACATCAAGATATCGATAAAACCAAACCTTTATATAAACAAACATAAAAAAATGGGTATATTAAAAAAAATTCTGGAAGCATCCAAAAGCAAACAAAGAATACAAGAAATCTAGACACATAAGTATGCACCTGGAATTTGCTTAGATGGGCAGATGCAAAGTTCTGTTTTTTAGGCATTTTTTTTTCTTGGTGACAGAACCGATCAAAGAAAGCTTCGGAGTCAACTAGAATTTGCAGGATGTCTAGCGTCCATCACTTGATTTATATAGCAGAAGTTGGGTATTGCTTGAATCACCCGCAAAAGAGGTAAAGTAGGTGACACGCGAACAACACGGGCTGTGACTTTGAATGTTTAACTGTAAGATGCCACGCGGTGGAAACTTCGGTGCCTCTCTGGCCTCTCTCCTCAGCTGTTACCTTAACTGTTGGGCCACTTGCCCTTTTTTTTTTTTTTTTTTTTCTGTTCTTTTATAAATTTTTGGATGATACTATTTTTATCAAATATTTGAATGTTATTAATTTTTACGTAGTTAAAAAAATTTTAATTTTAATGTTTAATATTAAATTTTTTAAAAAATTTTATATAATTAAAGTTTTATAATTTTTAATATTAAAAAAATTAAATATAAAATAAAAATTTTAAATGTTTAAAAATATATATAATTTAAGCATATCATAATCTTAGGAATATGTTTCTAATAGCATATACGTGGAATATTATTAGAAATCGAATTTTAACTCATATTAAAAGTTAAATAATCCTTATTTTTAGATTAGATCCAAACTTTATAGGATACACAAACTATTTTATATTTTTATTATTAATATAATTTCAATTAATTTAGCCAAATATTAAGAAAAAGATTTTAGTATATTTAGATCTCACATTTAAATTTTATTACGTGTGAATTTCATTTATAAATTTATTGTATTTTTCTAATTTTCCACCATATATATGAATATGACAACTTTTGATAACTTGTATGTAGTCAATGGCTTAATCAATCAAAGGGTTTGCATTATTCTTCGATCTCGTTTTCAAAGGCAATCCTTAGCCAAGAAGGAATCAAATTCTAATTTACATATCTATCCTCGTATTTTTTTTAGGTACAAATATATTTTAATATATTTATATATAGAAGTATACATGAACTAAGCTCAAAATTTTTTATTTAAAGCTTTGTTGTAATATGTGCAGATAAGACAAATAATCTCACTCATAAATAACTCTAGTTATATATATTAATATAAAGAGATATGTTAATAAAAGGTTTATAATGAAATACCGATTAAGATTACATTATGTGATGAAAATTTTGTTATTAATGAATTATAATTTGATGAAAACTTTGCATTTAATGAAAAGTATTTTTTTAAAATAATTATTTGATAGAAAAGTTGAAAATAGATAAGAATATAAATTTTGTTAATCTAATGATTAAATTACAAAATGGAAAATGATTATAATTTTTAATAGATAAATTAACAAGTTTGATATCTTTATCGCTTTCCATTAAATTATTTTGGCTTTTTTTTAATGTAACATGAATCTAATGCTATTTAGATATAGATCAAAATCTTTTAACATTGTGCATCTAAAGAGAACCATATTATAAATATTTTTATGGAATAATTACAATCATCATATTATGTATACAATAATATTTTTTATTATATGGAATAGAATTTTCTTCTAATTATGTATTTTTTAGTTTGATTTTTAGTGTCATTTCATCACAAATTATTAAGCAAAAATAAAATTACATACCAAAACCAAAAATCATATACATCAAGTGAAATATCCCATCTGTTTTTTTTTTCTAAAAGATAAATAAAAATAATCATCTTCCAAGCAATAATATCATCAATGTTGACAGAAAGTTTTTATTATTATCATTAAAGTAATTTTGTAGTTCTACTAATCTTATAATGTATATTTGTAGTTATTTTTTTCACATCAGAGTGATGGATATATGAACTGTTTATGGTAAAAGAAAAATCTATGATCATTTTACTATTTATTATAATAAAGAAAATTGGAAGCAAAAAACATCTACCATATAAACATAATGTTATGCTACAACTAGTCCATATATACACTTATTCAGCAATTTCACTACTCTTGTCCTCAGCATTTTTAATTTACCTCAAGATTTCTTTCTTTTTCTCAAATTGGGCTTTTATTATGGTATTTATTTTTTTTAAATTCTGTTTTAGGTTGCTAAGTTCTTTCATTTTAACTTTTTTGATATTTTATTCTTCTCAAATTTCTTGTTTTTTTCTTTCTTTTTGCATTTTTTAGCTTTACCTTTCTTTTTTTTTTCTTCATCTTTCGATTTTTTTTCAATGTTTGCTATTTCAATTTTCCTAGAGGTTATGTCAATCTCACACTTTATGTCATTTGCTCCATCTCCATGTTTCTTTTTTTCTTTCCCCTTTGCTTCTTTCTCTTCATCCTTACGCTTCATCTCTTTTTCCTCTTTATCTTTTTTTTTCTTTCTGTTTTTTTTCTCTAACTTCTGTTTTAGTTTGTTAAGAACTTTTCCTTCGTACTTCTCCTGTGGTTTTTTTATTTTTTCAAATTTTTGTTTCTTGTTTTCTCTTTGCATTATTTTGCTTACCCTTTTACTTTTTTTCTTCCCATTCAGCTTTTGATTTTCTCTCAATGTCTACTATTTTAATTTCTTAAATGTTATGTCAGTCTCACACTTCATGTCATTTGCTTCTTCTCTTTGTTTTATTCTTCTCCTTTTCATTTGTTTCTTCTCTTTGTTTCTTTTTCTCTTTTCTATTTGTTTCTTTTTCTTTGTCTTCTCTTTTTTTTTATCTTTCTTTTTTTTTTCTTTCTCTACCTCTTTTTTTAACTTTTGTTTTAGATTGCTAAAAACTTTCCCTTCATCTTTCTCTTAAGCATAAATAAAATTACATACCAAAACCAAAAATCATATACATCAAGTGAAATATCCCATATGTTTTTTTTTTTCTAAAAGATAAATAAAAATGATCATCTTTCAAGCAATAGTATCATCAATGTTGATAGAAAGTCTTTATTATTATCATTAAAGTAATTTTAGAGTTCTACAAATCTTATAATGTATATTTGTAGCTATTTTTTTCATATTAGAGTGATAGATATATGAACTGTTTATAGTAAAAGAAAAATCTATGATCATTTTACTATTTATTATAATAATGAAAATTGGAAACAAAAAACATATACCATATAGACATAGTGTTATGCTACAGCTAGTCTATATATGCAATTATTCAGCAATTTCACTAATCTTGTCCTCAGCATCTTTAATCTACCTCAAGATTTTTTCATTTTTCTTAAGTTAGGCTTTTATTATGATATTTATTTTCTCTAAATTCTATTTTAGGTTGCTAAGTTCTTTCATTTTAACTCTTTTAGTATTTTTTTTCTTCTCAAATTTCTTGTTTTTTTCTTTCTTTTTGCATTTTTTAGCTTTACCTTTCTTTTTTTTTTCTTCATCTGTTCGATTTTTTTTCAATGTTGCTATTTCAATTTTCCTAGAGGTATGTCAATCTCACACTTTATGTCATTCTCCATCTCCATGTTTTCTGTTTTTCTTCCCCTTTGCTTCTTCTCTTCATCCTTACGCTTCATCCTCTTTTTCCCTCTTTTATCTTTTTTTTTTCTTCTGTTTTTTTTCTCTAACTTCTGTCTTTAGTTTGTTAAGAACTTTCCTTCGTAACTTCTCCCTGTGGTTTTTTTATTTTTCAATTTTTGTTTCTTGTTTTCTCTTTTGCATAATTTTGCTTACCCTTTACTTTTTTTCTCCCATTCAGCTTTTGATTTTCTCTCAATGTCTACTATTTTAATTTTCTTAAATGTTATGTCAGTCTCACACTTCATGTCATTTGCTTCTTCTCTTTGTTTATTCTTCTCCTTTTCATTTGCTTCTTCTTTTTGTTTCTTTTTTTTCTTTTCATTTGTTTCTTCTTCTTTGTCTTTGTGCTTTGTTTTTTCCTCTTTTTTTTTTTTATCTTTTTTCTTTCTTTCTCTACCTCTTTGTTTAACTTTTGTTTTAGATTGCTAAAAGCTTTCCCTTCATCTTTCTTTTATAATTTTTTCATCTTTTCAAATTTTTTGTTTTTTTGTTTTTCTTTTTTTTTCTCATTTCTTCTCTTCATCTTTCATTTTCTCCTTATCTTATTTATTTTTCTTATCCTTTCTTTTTACTTCTTTATTTTCATCATCTTTAACCTCATCCCCTTTAACTTTTTTTTTCTTTTATTTTTTTTCCTTAGCTTCCTTCTTTTTTTTCTCTATTGTCTCTTTATCTTCATCTCCATCTGCTTTATCCTTATTCTTTTTTTTTCTTCTTATCTTTTTTTTTCTTTTTTATTTTTCTTATCATTTTTTTCTATCCTTATTCTTTTTTTTTATTTCTCTTTATCTTTATCTTTCTTATCTTCGTTACGCTTTGGCTTTTTTTTTTTACTGATTTGGTTTTCAGTTTAAGTTTCACCTCAATCTTGTCTCTTTTTTCATGGCTAGGCTCTATATCTTTCGTCTTGACTTCAAAATGCAATTATTCCTTCTTCACCTTTTTTTTTCACTGATAATGGATTCAAATGTATCTTGCTTCTCTAGACTTTTTGCCATAAACTTAAACTCGAATATAAGCCCTTCTTAGTTCGTCAAATCCCCTGAAAGAAATGCCAAATATAAATAAGCAAAGACAAGAAAACAACCAA